TGTTCTGTGAATGTGAAACCCACTTATCCGACTTATATGCTCAAAGCTGAACTTGATTCGGTCCCTTGTTCTGTTGAAAATTGATCAAAAAACAGAAAGTTCTGTCAAATCAGTTTATTCGCAATAAAAACATAGTTCATCAACAGGTCATCAAAACCAAAATCATCAAATAATTATATCAGGTATAAAAAACAGAAAACTGCGTACAAAAAAGGAACACCAGTAAAAATAGAAAAAACAACACAACGAAGCCAAGTCCCCCATCAAATAAACTCAAACTTAAAAAACAGTCGTCGCAAAACAAGAAAACCAAAAACCTTTCCTTTCCATTTGAACTGGGGGGGGACTATTCCTTTTCTATCAGCCTGGGAGATTTATCTCCAAATCTACCCTGGCAAGGTCGCTGCATTTTGCAAAGAGGCGACAGTTCTTTCCCACCAACCAACACCCGACACTTGTCCTGGCAATCACAATCTTAATCTGGCCTGTAGGAAGATGACGAACAATTGACCCAACAACAATCTTCCCAGCATCCGCTTCACAAATACGACTCGCAAAGGCTCTGACGCACTCAATTGAAAAGCATTTGTTGAGGATTCTTGAGTTGAAAACCAACTTCAAGCTGAAAAACACAAAATTGATTAATCTCTGAAAACATTTGTACCTCATTCTTCAACTCACCTTTCAAAAGGATCCATAAAAACCGCTAAACCATCCAATTCAACACGACCAAGAGGTCCACCGAGACAACTCTTATAGTCGGATTCAGCACAATGACGATGCGGCTTGTTGGGCAAAACATGGGGAACGATGTTACCTCTGTCCCCCCAATACGGCGGACTACCAGTGCAAGATTTCACAAGACACCACTTGTCATCCCTGGTGTCAAGAGCCAATCCAAATTGGATAGAGATCGCATTTTTGCGAGCAAACGTCAGATATGCGCGCAACATTATGTGTCCAAAAACACCAGACAGACGATCCACCTTGACGAATGAAGCCAGATGATCTGTGGGAGTGGCGACAGAAAACCATCCTTTGCAACCAGTGCCTCGCTGGCGTACTCCAGACAAACGAATCAGGCGGCAGTAAAATTCCCGCAACAAAGCATACGCCACGTTCAGGCGCTCAGTTTCAGGAACCTTGCAGCTCCCACTTCTCATCCTCAAAGGGAAAGAGGGCATTCCGTCGGCAGACATCAGAATCTCCGGATGAATAAACCCGCCCTTCAGGCAAGGTGGCGGAGGAGACGCTCCCAAGGCAAACGTGGTGGCGTCAAAAACAGCAGAAACACGACACATGAACTCATGAAAAACTTCCATGAATCCTGAGAAGTTTGACACCGGCGAATCCTCAATCTCCAATACCAGGGCCTTTATGTTGTTTGTCCCCAGCCGAATAAAAACATGGGTAAATTTGAAGGAGGGATCCAACCAAAGGTCTGCATAAATGCGCCGCTTCAAATCCTCCGGACTCCGAGTTTGTCCAAATCCAAAGGATAACCCACTCATTGACCACTAAAAAATTAAAAGAGAAAACAAAAAGAAAAGAGGGAAATTCATATTAGTTTAAACTTCATCTGGAACCCGATCACTCTTCAACCTAAATTATTTTTAACAAAACCAAGAAATTCGTCTAAAACGCACCTGATATACATGCATCGGTAAATCTTCCAACAGATGAGAAAAGTCACAGACTGGCCGTAATGAAGCCTTCTCCTCTCGTACATTGGTGACGAACGTTTCAGGTCCCAGAGCAAGGCGAATGTATGCCATCAGCAAATCACTTATGATTAGTACCTTGGGTTTCTTCAAAACTCCCATCCTCTTCAAAGGACCTCGGTGCAGAAATAGTGGTGTACCATGAGTCCAGTCTTGCACTATACACCCAGGAATCGGGAGCTGGACAGATCCAATCGTTTCAGCATGCTTCGGGGTCAGACCCAAGTTGACAGCAGCATTCCTTCTAAAGGCAATCTTGTCATCTGGAATGAAACTCCTGCTCCAGAAAATCCGCCTCAAAACGTCTGAAAGAACATTGAAAAGAATGAAACAATTTAAAACTCCAGAAAATTCCCCTCAAAATATCTGAAAGAACATTGAAAAGAACAAAACAAGTTAAAAATTTCGCCAAAAACAAAAAACTTAAAACAAACCATCAGTAAGGCCTTCCGCCAAAGGAGCATGCGCCACTCGAAAAGCCTGGCATTGAGGAGGATCCGCAGGGACCTCCGACGACGATCCCCGAGACAAACTAGCAACACTGGCTCCAAATCCAATATAGTTGACGAGTCTCGGCGGTTCGGGAGCAATCTGCTCCAACACTTGAATTTCGGGCTCAGCAACTGCAGCCCCTGAAGACTCAAACAAACTCGATCAACCTCCGGATGATCCACTGGCAGTAGGAGGTACCAAAAGAGGATGCACCGACAAAGTATGCACCGAGCGACGAGATGTACTTGGAGTACAAGGCGGTGGTTGAGACGGAGAAGGAATCGCCGGAATCTTGTTGACTTGCACATATGACGCCTGAAGATCCTCCCTTGATCCAACCCGAATGACGACCTTTGAAGGTCCCGAACCACACGTCAATACCTTCACGCCATCTGAGAAAATGTAAAGAAAAAACGAGAGAAAATGTAATTAGATAAAATTCTTTGAGACTCTGCAACGATTAAAACCAAAACTAATAATACTTACCCACAGTAGAAAAGGAACAACTGGGTCCTTCCTCAAACCAAAACGAATGACAGCCATCAAGGCGTGTCAAGAAGGAAGAAAGACCAAGCGAGCAAACTCGTGCAAAATCCTGATCAAAATTCTTAGCCAACTTTTCTGCTTCTGAAGCAGCAAAAGCAGACATCACACCATGAAGTTCGCTCATCTTCCGTTTTTTGTCCAAAAATTCACAACGAGAGTCCAATTTGGATATGCTTTCTTCAAGAGATTCAAGCCTGGATCTCTTTCGGGAGTATCTCTCCTTGAACTTCTTTGTGTCAGAATCCACTCCCCGTTTGACTGACAACGCAACCGATCTCTTGTGGACTGCGTCGGCAAGATCAAGCAAATGACCCCACTCTTCTGCAGACAGTGATTGAAGCTCCAAAGCCCGCTCTCGTAAAGTAGAAGGTAGATCGAGAGAAATTCTGGACGTATCCAAAACTTGAGGTTCAAGCAATCCGGCAGCAGTATCTCCATTGTCCAAAGACAGCATTTCAACCTCTGTAATGCAGTAAAAGATATAGCAAACGAATTGAGGACCAAAGGGAGTGATCTCAAACAAAAAAGAGAAATCAAGATAACCAGTCAAAACGTATCAAGAAAAAGGAGAATTATATCACGAGCTGAAATTAACTAAAATTTCTACTGAATAACAGAGGAAACTGACCATTGTCATTGCCATTTTGAGTATCCCGCTCCTTGTCAGACGCCACTGTTGAAGTACAGGAATCCGAAGTATCCTCGTCAATGACTGTAAATTTTGAATAGGAAGGTTATTCTTTCTCAAAAAGCAATACTCAGTGACTAAGTACTGTGATCAATCAATAGTAAAACTTACCCAAAGGATCGTCGAATTGATGTTCGTTGTCAGCCAATACGGTGGAGGAAGATGTTGCCATATTCGTCGCTCAAACAGTAAAAATACCGCTGATAAAAGGATCTCACTGATGAGACACACAGATACCAAAAAAACCAAACGTGAAATTTCCTTGAAAAGATTCAATCCAAAGTCAAAGAAAATGAAACTAAAACATCAAAATCGAAATGAACCAAGCAAAACAAGAATTGTTGGCCAAATCGGCAAGGAAGGAAGGACCGGCAAGTCCTGACAAAACTGCGCATGCGAACTCTCCCAAATCAAATGAAATCTAAAAAGAAGGACCGGCAAGTCCCGACAAAACTGCACTATCGAATCTTAAGAAAATCCAAATCTAATGAAATCTAAAAAGAAGGACCGGCAAGTCCCGACAAAACTGCACCATCGAACCTTAAGAAAAATCACTGAAACTGTTGAAATCGGAAAAGATCACTAAGATTGGCACTAAAAACCTGACCAAAGTGGAAAAAGGCCTGTACCTGTGATCTTAAAGTGGACCTGGTATGTCCGCGTAAACTACCTATCCAAAGAGTCAGCCAAGTTATGGCAAATAGACTAGCTTAAGGCTGCGCAGCTTCAGCTAGCTATTATACACAATGAAATACTAGCAAGAGCGGACCTGCAAGTCCCCGTAAACNAAAAATCCGAATTCCGAAATTCTGACCAAGTGTTTTTCATCAAAAGAAATACAACTCGTTCAAACTAGGACTTTGTCCCAGCTGATTTACTGAGCTCATATTCATAAATTTAACACTTCACTCTCGCGAAAAGAACTTCAATTCTTATCTTCAATTCAATCACTTCTTTTTCTAATCTTTCATCCATTCTATATCACAGTTTCAGCTTTGTGAGTTTGTCTATTTGACATATCTTTTTTCACAATCACAAGGGTGATCTCAACTCTTTTCAGGATTTCCATGCTCTGTCTTTTTACATTTATTGTAAGAATTTCCAAACTCATCTCAAATCAATGCTAAAAATTCAATCCTGCTAAAAATTCAAGGGATGAAGAGAGTAACAAACAAAATATAATCATGACAATACCTTCGAATCATATGGAAGCAACCTTTCATCATTCAATTCGAATTCTTACCAGACAAAAATAGAAAACATCTGTCTCAGAAAAGGAATAAAGCGAAAAGGTTTTTTTGGCACAAGAACAGCAGAATACTTGAGGAATGCGTTTCTTCTTTTCAATTTTTTAAAGACTCGTCAGCGTATTATTCTGCTTGTCCCACGTGCATACGTATATACGATTAATGAATACACATGCCGATGAGCTATCTCAATATGATGAACTCGATCCAGAGTCCAGACCAGCAACAGCAGCGGGGGAATAAATACACACACACACACAAACAAGATCCGAGCCGCAAATCAAGATTGACGACCCCCGTTCCCTCTCACCGATAAATTATGCCTCGGGCATGCAGGAAACCCAATGCGCATATAATCTCGGCGCCGTAAAACCGCGCCCGGTCCTGGTCGAATCGTCCCGTGGCCTGAATGTGGAACATGAGGTCGCCGCCATTCAGGTACTCCATGGCGAAAAAGAGGTGCGACGGGGTCTGGAAAGTGCAGAGCAGCTGGCACAGGAACGGGTGTCGCTGACGCGTGGCGAGCGTCAACACGCGTCGCTCCACCAAGGCGCACTCCACGTCGTTGTCCTCCAACACCACGTCTTTCTTGAGGCACTTGATGGCCACGAAAACACCGGATCCGACGGATTGTTGCTGTTGTTGTTGTTGTTGTTGTTGCTTTTGACTGCTGCTGCTGCCTCCTCCTCCTCCTGCAGGTTTAGTCTTGGTCACCAGCTCAGCTAACATAACCTTCCCGAAACTGCCTTTTCCGAGCACCTTTTGATGATTCATCATATCAGAAGACACAATATTGATCAGAGGAATTTCAAGAATCCTCTTTCTCTTTTCAGACGAAACTAAAAAAAAGAAAAAGGGTCGGGACGAAAATCCGAGAATTTTCTGGTGAAAGATCTCTTTGCAACAAAATTCAAGGGACAAGAAAGATGTTGTAAAGATGATTCCATGGTAGAAAATTCAACTGTCAATTTCTTTGTAGAACAAATTTTCAAGGACCCATAGTGTTCTCTCTCCATGTTACAGGGGTTCCCTGCAACGAAATTCAAGGGTCCAGGGAAAAAAATCGTTGTAAAAATTATTTTTTATAGGGAATTTGATTGTCAAGATTTTTGCGTAAAGATTCTTTTTTCAGGTTCCACAGCAGACGGGTTCTCTCCATATGTTACTGTGGTTCTCTATTGCGAAATTTAAAGGGGGGAAATTGTTGCGAAAAGATTTTCCCTTCCGACCGGGAAAACCTATGATATCAGGATTCAGGAGCAAACCCTGTATGAGTGTATATGGGGCCTTTAAAAAATTCGTTATACAAAGACAACTTATATGTAGACAATATCGTTTCAGATAGTCCACCAGTCATCGGCTTTTCTTTTCTCGCTTGGAATGGAATAAACTTGTTCTGCGATAAAATAGCGCTTCTGGTTTAGATACGCACTTTTCTAATTGGGTCAAGTTGAGGTCCGAATTTTAAAACAATAACAACAAATCTGGTGAGAGACGCGTTTGTTTTCCCTTCCTTTTTCTTTTACGACATTAAAAGATGAATTTATGTGCTGCAGTTCCTGATACATATATTTCTCATATAGGGAAGATTCTCAGGCACCTCTTATGGCGAGTTTCATTACTGTGGTTCCACTCCTTGACGGAAAAAAAGACCATATATTTGATGAATGGGGTTCCTTATAGCTTTTTGGCTTACGCAGCTCTTTGCGAAATTAATTTCCTGTGCATGGAGGAGACTTTCACTAAATCAAAGGAGGTGCATGGAGGAGGTCTTTGGGTAAATTCTACGATTCACATCAGTCATGCTGTTATTTCTAGGTGGCTGAAAAGGATAATAAATTAATGACAAATGTTCGGTTAACTATAGATTAATTAAGTGCTGGATTCATTTTTTAAAGCGAAGAGTCGCACAAATCCATCTTCGAAAAGCTGTTTCTTCACTGTAATTAGTTCATTCAAGCGAAGAAATGTTATTGTCAATGGAAAATAATTTTACGCGAATGCACAGAGCTTGTGGAAATAAAAATGAAAGAGATTCTTGAATGCTACGTGTATATCCGGGTCATGATTTACGGGTTCAAACTTTTCTTGTCAAGAGAGTATTTCAATGAAATATAATGTAACGCGGAAATTGAAGAATTCCTTGAGAAAGTGTAGTCACACCTGGAAGCATTTCTGTAATTCCTATTTCAGTTTAGGTTATGCAGGACTTGTACTTCTAATTTTAATTCGTTTTGAATGGGAGTCTTCCATTAAAAAATAAATGAATTAGTCTGAAATGGACCGCCTGCCGCAGTCTATAGAAAAGACATGAATAATCCAACAGAAAAACGCATTTTCTTTCGCTTGAACAGAGAATTGAAGAAGATAATGATGACTGTGCACAAAGTTGAATGACACTCTTTTCAAAAACGTGAGAGCGCCGATAAAATCAGTGATTCCCAAGTGATTTCAACCTCGGAAGATGAAAGGTTTTCTCGGAAGAAAAAGCGAGGTTCCTCGAGAAAAAATTTTTTTTCGGATGTTTGCTTGAGAGAGATGTAAGCTTTCCAAAATGAATAAAAAGAAATATATGTTAGCTGTTTGCGCAAAAATAATACCTTGAGAAGCACGAAGTCGTCGATGCCGTAGTGACGATTCTTTCCACTGACACCGTGTTGCTGATGTTGTTGCTGCCCGTCGGGCTTCGAATTCGGGGTTATAAAAGCCAGGGTTCTTCTCTCACCGTTCGTCTTATTCTTCTTCGTCTTTCCCTTCGTCTTGTTTTTCTCGCTGGATGTCCCTGCCTTCTTTTTCTTCTTCTTCTTTTTCGTCGAGCTGCTCCACAGACACGTTGTATGCGTTTTCCCGAGGGCATCGTCATCAAGGAGATCGTCTTCGTCATCCTCGTCACCGTCGTCTTTGTCATCTCCGCTCTCGTCGTCGTCATCGTCGCCTTCGGTTCCACCGGCATCTGCTTCTTCAGGTGAAGAGTGGGAAGCTGCAAAATGTCGAATTCAGAATGAATGAATGAATGTACAGTATATTTTTATTGTTCCCCAACCCGTGGTCCGCGGACCAGCGTCGGCCTACAGAATTTTTTCCCTGTCTGCGGGAAATATTCGGCATAATAAAGTACAGTGAGACCTCAAGATACAACGTAATTGGTGCATCAGGAGTGTCCCTAAGTCAAAGTGTCCCTAATTTGAGTCTCACTTTCCCTTAGACTTACATTTTATAAATTTCAATTGGTGTTTTATGGACAAAATACCCACCACAATTCCATGAAAATAATAATTTTCTCCAAGGTGAAACTGATTCAATCAATTCATTTCAACACAATATGGACATTTGGGGAATTGAATACTGATACCTCTGTACAGTACACAGAAATGTTGGCATTCTCTATATAAAAATAAAATTCAAGTGAAAAAAATAAGGAAGTCTCTCAATCTATGCTAAGTCCCATTTAGTTATTTTTTAAATTAGCTAAATGGATTGTAAATTGATCAGAGAAATGCCCAAGAACTTTTCTTGGATCAACTTTAGGGTTGGAAATATCTGTTTCTTATTATAATTTGGCCTGAGACTTATTTGAAATATTATCGCAAAATGTCCCTATACATGTCAAGTCAGTGTCCTCATGTCGAGCCTTTTTTATTACTTTTTTATGGGAATATAAGTGTCCCTATGTTGAATTGTCTTCATGTTGAGGTGTCTGCATGTGGGGGTCTCACTGTATATGCATCAGAAGTTGCAATGAAGTTTTTTATTCTTATCTGATAGTTTTGAAAACAATGGCAGTTGAAATTATTGCATTAAAAGAAAAAATTGCTTTCCCCCTTCATAACACTCAAGAATAATTTTCACCTGCTGAATTATTTTCACTTTCCCTTCATATGGGAAACCTTTTTTTTAAAGCTCAGCTTTCTACTTTTTTTGAAGACATAGCTTTGTAGCTGCTCATCCAGTGGTACTCAGCTTAATTTTTGCAATACAATAAGTTTTGTTTGGAGGAATTAATGAAAGGTATACGAAACAATTTTGCTGGGGTCTGCAAATATTTTATGGAACACTGCCGGTCCGCAGAAAATGTCATGGAAATTATGCCGGTCTACGGAAAATTTGTTTGTAAATTTTTCAATCCCTGCGTCCGAAAAAGATTGTGGAACACTGATCTATATTAGAGGGTCTTGCCATCACATGGACTCACTCACTTGTAGATGGCAGTCTTTCGTGGCAGGCATGAGGCAGCAGGTCTGTATGAGTGGATTGAGTCGCACCCGTTCTGTTGTTGCTGATGCCGGAGGCGTCTGTTCAAAGCATAACGAAATCAGTTCATACGAGTGTGAAGTAGGCTTTCTCCAAGCAAAGAATGAGCAATATTGAATTTCATAGAAAACAGGTATACGGATTGACATAAATAGATTCCTCGCTCTCTCGCAAAAAATAAAACGAATTTCTTTGCTGTGTTCCCCGTGATTGATTTGATAGGTTGAAATTCCCGGACAGAACACAAATCCGATTACTTTAGGGCTGAACGGACTTCATACAATTCTCCAAGTTTCCGCATACCTATAAAGAATAAAAGTTGCAGTGGATGTAGTAAGGATTGCATAACATGCACGAAAAACCTGGAAAATCGAAAAAAACTCATTTTTTTTACTAAAACGACGGTATGTTTAGAAACTTGTTGTTTATTACTAGATTAAATTATTTTCAATAAATAGACATTAATTTTTTCGAGAACATTTGAACATTCTGATGCACAGAAAAATATTGCGCAGCCACAAATAATTGCAGTTTTCCAATCGAATTACAGTATAGTAATCCCAAAAATGAGTGCGGCTTACAATCGCACCAAAACAGTATTTTGAAATTCTGTACTTCAAATCAAAAACTTGGTATTTCGAATCCCTTTGCAATACCATGCCGTCTAAAAATGCATTTCCACATTATTTTTATAAGCAGAATCTTGAAATGGCAATCACCAAACATAAAAAATTGCAATTACCTTTTGCCTAAAAAAATGTGTTCCGCGTTGGACGCAAGTTGCAGTGAATCTAATTGCAATAATTGTCAATATCAAGTTTTTAACCCATGTTTTTCGTTATGAATCCGACCTATACTCTCACGCAAATTTATTTTGTGAAGAGCGATGGACAAGTACGGCATTCGGTTCTGGAATTTCATTGAACCGAATCCAATTTTTCCTCGGTTCACATCACATTGCTTATACGTATGAAAGCTTATCCAATTTCACGTTTTTATTAGATCTCCAATACGAATGAAGATATTTTGGCCAAGTCTCTCATTTGAAAAACGGTAAAAAGAAAATTTTATAAAAATTATCTCTATTGAACAACGATAAAATGCGTCGCAGCCGCTCATACGAAAATTTTTTTTTTCAGAGTTCAAATAAAGACTAAGTCTGTTTTGTGAGACTACAAGAAAATATATTGCCCCAGGTGGATTACAAATGAGGGTAATTTCAATAAAAAATAGAAATTTCGCCCCATCAAAGTACAGTACAGTAATGACTCACTCTATTTCAAAATTTTCTCTTACACTTTAATGAAGTCCTTAATTCAGAGAGATTCTTCGTCTATCCAACACCTAATCTTAAATTCTGCTGGCGGTGAATTTTCTGGAACCCCGAGAATATCCGGCCAATTTAAACAGAAATGAAATTCATTCAACGAGAAAACCATTTGGGTTTCGTCCGTCTTAGTAATGAATCCCCCTTTTCAAAATATGCTCCAAAATATTTCACAAAACGAGCATTTCTTTGATAAATGGAACAGCTGGAGTGTTCCCTCATCTGTAGCACCATAGTTTTCATTCCATCCTGCTGCATGGCGAGGTTCTGTGCACCATGAGAATTTCAAATGAACGGGAAGCTCGACGCTTTTTGGATGACGATGATGGATCTTTCTCCGAATTTTGCACCGAAAAAATGAATACAGTATAATTCGAAATTTATTTTAGAACGAGATAAATCACCTCGCTTGATGGTGGCGATGGCTTCAGCCAGCAGCTTCTGATTGACTCCGCACAGGTTCGACAAATGCTTCTCACACTTCTTGTGGCAGTTGACATTACACACTGGCAAAAATATATGCGATTATTATAGAGGGGAAAAACGTTTTCCTCGTATACATGTCCCATATATACTGTATACCGAATCTCATCATCGTTGCATATATGCTCTAACCTTCACATTTGAGTCCCTGTCGGAACAGGCCGTAGAGCATCGACCCGCAATGGTCGCAGAAGGTCGGGGACATGTAGTTGTGCATCTTGAACCGATGCGGCACGTCGATCTTGAATCTCTCTCGGAGGTACTAATGAGGTCAAGGACACAGTCTAGCTAGTATTAATGAGGGAACCACAAGCAGGAAACTCACGATGGTGCTCTGCGACTCCTTGCCGGATCCCGGACACTTGCCGAGTATCTTGTCGTGGCACTTTTTGTGCACAGCGCACTGGCACTCTGTAAAAGGGCAAAAAGAAAGGACCGAAAATGCTTCAACATGAGCTGAAAAATCTAAAAAATATTTTCTATTAAATAAGTCGATGATTAACTGACAATCTGTAATTGTGAAGAATAATCTTGGACACGCTCAAGCAGACGCTAAAAAATACTGACATATTTTTCATACGATATAAATTTAAAATAATTAGCAGTTTGTATATGAAGCATCCAGGAAAGAACCCAAAATGCTCAGACATAAGCAGAACATTATAAAAACTTAATAAAATTAATTTGTGATTGACTAACAATCTATTGGGCAGAAAATCGATACAAATGCGCAAATATGCACTAAAAACACTTAGTTTTTCAGCTGGATTAAATTTATTTTGAGCTTGCACTCTATACAAAAAAGGACAAAAGCGATCGAAAATGTTCAAACATGAGCTGAACAATCTTGAAAATTTTTTTTTAATGGATCAAATTCATGAACAACTGGAACTTTGTTGGGAAGGAAGTCATTGATTTTTTTTAGTGCACGCATTTTTTTTTTTAATACGCAACTGACGGTTCGTGAATTTTTCTCAGTTTTATTTTCTTTCCCTAGAACTCTGGAATACTGTAAATAAAGGCTGTATGACAGTGTAGACTGTCGATGAACACAAAATAGTTTATGGATGCTGTAAGTACACCATGAAAATTAAACCTTCGGTCATCTCTTGTTTTCGAATGAAAGAGATACTAACTGATACATTAAATATTTAATTATGGTTTTCCTCGAGCGAAAATAAACGAATACTCATTGAAAATCATGGAACTTGCATACTCAATTTCACAATATGCGTGCTTCAAGCATGTATTCCAAATGTTCAAAAGTAGACTATTTTACGTTCCTTCAATCGGTTTTTATTGAAAATCTTTCCTGGTGATCAGGAATTTGATAGTAAAGTTTTTTTTTTGGCAAGCTGAACCGAAGTTGAAATCCTAAAAAAAATGCTTCCCCAACTATATATGCCCACAAATACAATATTTCGAACTCGCTCGAAACTGAATAAAGGTCTAATTTGGACCTAGTTTTTGAATTTATGGATTTGGAAGGAGGAATTCTGTTTTTAAAATACTGTATATATATATATTCAAGGCAGAAATATGTGAACTTCAAGTAATTACGCGGGATATTGCCCATAACGTTTTCGACTCAGGCACATGATGTGAACAGAGATGGTCGAAACTTTTAATTTATGAGTCTATTTCATCGATTCTAAACTTCAAAGAAATTTTCGTCAATACTCCATATTTGAGTGATTCTGCGAGAACTCTTGAAGTGTGTCTTCCCATGAATCAATATGAAAGGTCATGCAAGACCAGGTCTATATGCAAATACAGATGTTGAATACATCCAGAGACAAAAATAAAAAAAATCTTTAAAAATTATTTTTATCCGCACTTCAGTTTCCCTGCATGATGGATTAAAGACATCGTGTGACGAAAAAATCCCACACTTATTCAATATAACACCCTTATTCGTTCGTTCTAATTATATTCTCAACATTTATGGGCTAGTTATTCTCGCACACTCTGAAGTTGAATTCATTGATCAATATACGAACTCGAAACAGCGAGAGAAAAAAAAAGATTACGAACGTTGGCATTGGTAACCCTGCTTGCCGAAGCCCCAGAGAAAGTCTCTGCAAAATGCGCAAAACGTCGGCTGGCGGAAGAATTTGGCCACAAAACGGTGTCCCCGAGCTTCGTGCACCTTTTGCTGTTTCATGGCGCCTCGCCGACGCGTTATGCCGCCAACTGCCTTGAAGTAGTCGTCATCATCCAGGTACGGAACTAAATTGCAAAGAAAATATACAGAGAAAAAAATAGATATCTTTCATGGCACATCTTCCATTTATGCATGTATTCCGGGGGGAAATGGTTCCTCGCCTTCGTCAGCCCGCAGAGCCCGGACTTGCACATTGATCCTGCCCGACGGCCGCATCTTGAGCTGCAACACAATAAGAAAGAACCCTTGATGCCATTGAATGAGAGAGCCCCATTTTTACCCTCTTCCAGCAAGAGCCAAACTCGAAAGCAAAAAAATAAAAATAAAATCTTGGTATTCGTTCGATGCACGGGGATGCTATCGATTTGGAATTCAATGTGTGTGGTTCGATCGTGTGGTTAGATATGTGTATTGTATTTTTTCTTGAGCTATCCTTCGAAGTATTTTTTTTTAGTATAGAACGTGTTTCCATGAAAGCTTTAAGCTGCGTGAAATTACAGCACGAAAATAAGTTGAGCAGGATTTGCGGGGAAGTCTGCAACTCTTCGTCTTGCAGAAGAAGAACACCCACGCAGTGATTAAATGCCAGCAGTGGATATAAAGGGTAGACTAGATCAACAAAGACCGAAGTTTGAGTCCTGGTATCCATCGAACGGTTGAAGCTGAATCCCGTTAAATGAAAACTCATTTAGATTAACTTTTCGAGGATTCCAATTTTATTGTCGTATTTGCATTTGCATGAGCTGCACGCCCGGTTGAAACAGTAATACTGTACTGTAATTACACCAGGAAAAATGTTGCCAAGTGTTTCATTTTACAAAGGTATACACAGGGATTTTTAAGAAGCTTGTCATATTCTTTCTTGCCTTTGAATGAATCACAAACCTTGAGTCATCAGGGAAAAATGTTTCATCAATCAAGTTTCAGAGTTGTCTAGATTTATTATTCAAAAGGTCAAAGAAGAAAATGCTGACGAAAAAAAGTGAATATTGAGATGATACAATTCATGTGCAATTTTCAAGTTTCAAACTACGAGTCCAACCGACCTCACGCAAGAAAAGAAAATTTGAAAAAATCGAAATTTTCCAAAACAGTTGTACAGTATTTGGCACTCGGATTAATGAAAATGCTACTGGAGAAAATGCTGATGAAACACGATTAGTGAGATAATAAAATGGATGCATAGCTTTTTATCTTCAATTCCGAGTCCAACCGACCTTATTCAAGGAACGAAATACATAAACGCGGAAGTTTTCAGGAAAAGTTTTTGTTCGTTTCATGGACACTCGGATTGATCGAGTTCCAAAATGTTCTTGACATACTTCTCATTCCAAGATTCCTGCGTCGGAAATCAAAAATCTTATGGAATGTCGCTCTTAATAATGACGAATACATTTTTCGGACGATTTAAATTTTCATTTTGTTTTTTTCCTTTTGGATGCGACATTCTCAAATTAGCAAGTTCGTCCGATGTGAATAAGTTATCGTGATCGATTGAGATGCGAAGCAGCCAAGTTTTTGGATTTCCGATTGATTACCGAAGTTGAGGATGCAATGCAATTTCTCTATTGCTTCACAGTAGAGTGCCTTCGGTTGATGAATTCAAGAGAAGCATTAATGCACTCCACGACAAGTTTCGAAAGGTTTGCGAGAATTTTAAGAGTTTTTACTTTGTCTTATAGTCGTTAACCAGAAGAAATGAGAGGAATACCATTTCGACTAAATCCAGAATAATTACGACGAAATGTGACAAATTTAAGGCATAATTATTACAATAGTAGTCAATACTGACCATTTTTCACATTCTGGCGGAAACTTATGATTTGCAGACTGTTCAGTATTCACGAGACTCCAACACAACTTCGAAATTATTCATGAATTTCGAGACTTGGATCGGGATTGCCAATTTACCTTATTTCTTGATGAATATAAATGAGGATCTGTAGAAATCTGCCTCAATAATAAGACAGCTAAAAAAATGTAAGCTATTTCATTCCACTTATAAAGTATAGACGTAAAGAATGTTCTAACGCCAATTTGGTACGAAAATACTTCAATTAACATATTCAAATAAGTTAGTCTTTTTATTTGAATTTTCTAATTTTCCTTATAAAAACATACAGCAGTCAATTGGATCTGATTCAGCAGTAATAACTAGCCGAAACGTCTCCCACATACATATGAAACCATTAAGTTTTATTGTAGAACTTTCCGGAAGTCTTTAGTTCCAATTACAACAAGAAAACAAGATATCGAGATAATTCCTGAAAAATCTCTTTGCCAACAAGAAATCTGTAGGACTGATATCAGAAACTTGAAAACAATTTCGAAATTTTCCCTTAGTTTTCATTTTGCTCATCTGCGATGTGCATATGAGTCCTCTTAATTTACATCCTTGTATAGACCATCAAAATATGTAAATAATTTTCACCTTCTCGAACTCTTTTCATGTGACCAAAACAATTAGCCGCCAGCATGAGCAATATGTGTCGACAGTTTGAGAAAATACCCATTTATTCTAGGCATATTCCCACCGTATAAATACTGCATTCCTGGAAATACGCACTTATTTACTTTGAACGTGGAAGCCTGCCCTTGAAAGGCAAATATGCACTTCAGGCTGAAGGACTCCAGGGCAATCCGAATATGTTGGCGCTATACTTGGAAGTAGGGCACTGAATGCGATATCAAACGTGGCACATCAGTGAAATATAGCCAGTAATATATGCAACAGCTTGCAGGAGTGCGAAGTATATATAAGCATGCATGCAATATTCATCAAACGCTTCGCGTTCCATCATTTTCAGCAAGTATATACAAAATTTATCGGAAAGATCTGCGGATTATATCAGATGAAGTGTTGGAAGGCGCAGAGGAAATTTAGTGACATTCATCGGAAAAGTTTCTGTCGCGTGAAAGATATGGGTTCATACCTTTTTGCTATTCTTGTGCTTTCGAATGGTTTATTGGGAATCATCTGAGATAGATGAAGACGCATGTAATTCTCACACGCGAGAAAACATTTCTGGATGTTTTTCATTTCGTGCCCATATTCTGTTCCAGCTTCATCAAGACATTGGTTGAGAAAATTCGGATATACTGAGGATGCACCTGATCATTTCAAGATTCGTGAGGAAATGATTTATTTTCCTCATACCATATGCTTTTCTATTTTAAAATTTCTGGCCGTCAAATCGACACAAAGCCGTTCGAATCTGTGCAATATATTTTCTTAAATTGTCATAATATGCAGAGATGTTTAATGGGAACCGATTCTGAAATTCTGACCTCGGATATCCTGTGTAAATATGGCTATAGGTTGATCAACAAAAAAATAAAATAATTTTTGAGAGAAAATGTGCCCAGATCAGGACTGCAATCTCGGAAATCTATTATGAAATAGACCGAAACTTTCTTCAAGAATTATCATCATCCCACGATGATGAATATTCATTTATTGTTCTATATAGACTCGATTGCCAAAGGAAATTGATCAATTCTGAGAAACTGGCGAAACTTTTGAACCATCCCTCGGGAATTCGCACAGAGTTTGTTCAAGTTAATCAGCTTTTTCCGTCATTTGTTGACAGCAACGCGTTGGGCCTTTCTAGCGGGAATAAATGGTCATTTCTGATATATATGCGTGCGTCTTGCAAAGCTCACCACAGTCACTATCTAACAGTTCCACATTGATATAATTATCTGCCCAGTTACGTCGACAGCACGTCCCTGTGGAGTACGATATTTCTTTGTAGAACAGTGTTGAGTCAACTGAACGCCAGCTAAACTGACTGCAGGTACATTCAAGGGCCTCTCAACTTAGCGCCAGGGGGAAACTGAGCGGTATTCAACTCAGCGTCAGCTCAAATGACCGGGATTCCACGTAATAAGTTTATATCTCCCTCCCACTTCGGAAAAGAGAACAAACATAGAAACGTTTTCACACGCAAGTCTGAATTTGAAAAACTTGCCATGAGTGAATTAAGATAAGAACATCATTGATGAACCCTTGTTTGCTAAGTAGAAAAGGCTTATTTGTCTTTGCTGAAACAAGACATCTTTAGAGATGTGAAATAGGAAAAGTGTCAAAGCAAAAAATGTATGATTTCTTCACATCAAAAAACTAATTTATATAACTGATTTCAGTTAATAGTTTGCTGAATGAGGAACGATGTCATGAAATCTGCCTCAGGGCATCTGCGAAGGGAATCGAAGCAATTAAATTTCAGTTTAAGTCACGCTGTAGGATGCTTTACAAATTTACAAACTTACTCCCGAATTTTCTTGTTCACCTTCTTCGATTTTCTTTTGCCCGTGCTGCACATGTTTTCCACATTTTTGTTTAATTTCTAAAAGCATCTAGTTAAACAGATATGACCCCGGGCATAATCTAAACATCGCTTCTTTGAACATTATACAGTCACGGTAGTTCTAATTATTTGAAGAAAAAAAAATATGCCAACGGGTTTTTCTACGGAATAAACGTTGAAAAAAGTCAGGATGGTTACTATATAAGCAAACAATTGAAGCCTTTCGAAGATTATTTCCTGGGCACTTCGGACGGATACTCATGGTCAAAAGCACATTTTTCTAGCTGAATAAATATCTGATTGAATGATGAACGATTTTAAGGAAATTTATGGCTCAATTTTCTCCTGCGCTTATCATTTGATCGGTCACAGGAAGAATAAATCGTTCCGAAATTATCAGTTTTTTATCCCTAAAAAAGATTAATAAGTTCCTATACTCTAGAAACAAGAAGTCCCGATAATTTACCAAAAAATTGGCGCAAAACTTTTCGCGAACTCGCACAGTGTATTCAGCTTCGTCCTATTTTTGGCGAAATATTCCCTGGATCGAATGATTCACGATCTCCAATTCAGGATGTTTGGCTCTCAGTTGTCTCCGGCGTTCAGTTGTTCGGCAGAGGACCATGCTTAAACTTGAGTTGGCACCCAAAGTAATGCGTCCGTATTCTCTCCATTTGACTCTTCGTATGCAATAGTTGCGCCGGAAAGGCAAACACCGGGGAAATATCAACGCCAAGGGCCCCGGAACTAATGAAGCATTTTCCCACACGCGGAATCATTCCCAAAGGACCGGATTTTCCCCGCGAGCGACGACGTGAGAATAATGAATAATCGTCTCCCGACCGAAAGCAAACACCGTCTCTCGCGATTTTCCCATATAGAAAAACACTACCACGACGACGACGACGACGACGACCACCGTCATCGACGTCGATGTCGACGTCGGGAATCGCGTCCTGGTTTTTACCCCCATCACGCCGATGTCTTAACGAGGAAATCGGGACGGATTCCTCGTCTTCTATACATAAAAAGAAAGGAAATCCATCGATGCATCATCATCGCAGCATCGATCGGAGACAGACGTCCAATCATCGCACTGAATCGCGGAGCAGAGACTGAAGTCCTTTTCATCCACGCCAAGAGCGTGGAACTCGATTGAAGTTCGGAATAACCCAGCTATATGCCCCTTGTACGAGGATGGGTTCATAAGTTTTCAGATTTGTTTTACAATTTACAGTGGGAACCCCCCGAAATGCGGATCCAATTGGTTCATGGACCTTGTCCTTAGGTTGGAAAGTCCGCATGTCAAACCTCATTTTCCCTTATGTATAGATGGACATACAGTATTTTTGATTGATTCTGAAATCGATAATTGAGAGAATTTCTCCCCGAAAATTGGAAAAAAATTATCACAACTTCATGATACAGAAAATGAACCACAAAGAATCCGATCGTTTGGCATCGGAAGGAGCTGAATAACCAAAGAGCAAGAAGTCCTGCTATTATTGAAGCTATATGATGAAAACAAACTTGAAGACATTGACCTATTCAACATTTAAAACTAACTAAAAATAAATTGCATTATGAAATCACCCTAATTTGTGACCAAGATAGGCTGAATTTTGTGCTTCTTTTTCAAGAAATGCAATAATTGAGAGAAAAACTTTCACATTCTCCCAGAAATCTATAGGTAAAATGTCTGTATACCTCAAGTCACTGTTTGGATCAGGGGCAGATTTTTTGGATTCGAAGTTTCCCTAAGTCAAATCATCATCTGTACGTTGAGGTGTCCGCACTTTGGGGTTTAACTGATCAAACAGTGTTTCAAATAATAATTTTTTTAAAAACTCAAATAGCCTCATCATTTGGACCACTTCAGCGCTGATCAACATACTTTCTACTTCATATTCCGATTTCTACGCATTTTTTTCATGCAATAAATTCAAAAATCAAAACAGTGCAAAAAAATTAAGTTATTTTCGCTCGTTAAGCATTGTGCCATCTACTAGCTGTTCCTGGCCGTGGAAAAGAACCTGAAAAAATTGATTTTAAGGGCAGGGATATACAGCCTCATTTCCGCCATCTATAAGAGCAGCTTATAGTCAACTGGCAGAATTTAATTTTTTGCATTGTTTTGATTATTGGGTTTATTGCATGAACACATGCATTGGAATTATTGGAGGAGAGTTGAGGTGTTGTCAAATGATGTGGCTTTATGAGTAAATTTTCAAAAAATGTATCTGTCAAAACTCCGTTGGACCTATTTCAAAAAGTCTCAAAACTTTTGAACCAAACCTTTTCACATCCTCATTCCTTCCCCACCCTTTTTTCTTCTTCTCATTTATTCTATTCTCTCACCAATAATGCTCGACCTCTGCTGCTTTTTTTTTCATATATTCAATTCACTCTTCATCAGGACAAAGTTGAGCAGGAAATGAAATAAATAAGTGAAGAGAATGAGCGCGGAAACTAACCGTGAATGACGGCTGCGATCAAAGGGGAAAAAAACGCCTAGAGAAGGGGAATCATTTTATCGACGCTGACCGCGCCCACACGTGACCTTAGAATTCTTGGCAGATGGCCAGCAGCAGCAGCAGAAGCAGAAGCATCAGCAGCACAAGCAGCAGAGCAGACATGCTTGAGTAGGAAAGAGAGAGAGAGAGAATGTGTGTGCTTGTTGGTATTCGTCTCGGGTATGCGTGACACAATCCCTTGTCATCATGGAACTTGCTTCTCCATAAACAGAAGAAAAACAGGGAGCAAACGGAAGAGAGGAAGAGACACAGAGGAGAAAAAATGAGAGAAAAAGCGAAGGGATGGAAGAGTCTGCATATAATATATATATATATATACGTATATAATACAGCAAGAGATGAAATTCGCATGAAAACGGTCCGATGAAAAACGATGGACCATTTTCCTCCTCTCTTGCTGGTCACCAGCATATTGCATGAGAAAATTGAAAGTTTTTTGTTTTTTTTTTGCTCAGGTATTTAAATTTAATACCCAGGTCGGAGACTCGCCTCTAATGAAAATTTTATACACGACTGACTACATTTAGAGTATCCCTTATTGTCGTCAAAGAGCATGCTGGTCAGAGGCAGAAAAATAAAATAAGAAGCGCGAAAGTAACTCTTTGCATATACACATGCAGTAAAAGACGAAAT